GCACGTCGCGCTGCAGCCTCGCGCGTCGCGCTGCAGCCCCGCGCGTCGCGTCCGCTGCCCGCACGTCGAGCTGCAGCCCCGCGCGCCACGGCTGCCGTCCTCGCGCAGCCCGCGGCGGCTTCGCGCGCCGCGCCCGCAGCTCGCGTTGCGCGCTTCAGGCCCGCGCGCCGCGGCTGCCCCTGGACACTTGAGCAGCCGCCCCTGGACCCAGAGCAGCCGCCCGTGGCTCCTACAGCAGCCGCCCCTGGTGCAGCCGCCCCTGGACCCTCGAGCAGCTGACCCTGGACCCTGAGCAGCCGCCCCTGGCCCCTACAGCTGCCGCCCCTGGTGCAGCCGCCCCTGGACCCTCGAGCAACCGCCCCTGGACCCAGAGCAGCCGCCCCTGGCCCCTGAAGCAGCCGCCCCTGGTGGAGCCGCCCCTGGACCCCGCGACGCCGCCCCTGGACCCGCGACGTCGCCCCTGGACCCCGTGCAGCCGCCCGCTGAGCGCCGGCCTTGCTCGCATGGCGAGCGCCTGCTCTTCCCGCCACTGGTGAGCACCTGCCTTGTTAGCGCACTGCCTGCCTGCCTGCCAGCCTGTCTGCCTGCCTGCCTGCCTGCCTGTCTGCCTACCTGCCCGCCTGCCTACCTGCCTGCCGCGCCTGCCCTGCCCGCGCTGCTGCTGCTACTACTGCCACTACCAGTGCTACTGCTACTACTGGCGGTGGCCAGATGCAGCTCCAGCGACGTCCTCGCGAGTCTCTCATGCCCCAGCAGCATCGTGAGTGGTACGCTAGTTGGGGTTGTGGTGCTAGCCGTCGTGGCTGTCGCCCTGGAGCTGGTCAGTCGGGAGCGTCTGGCGGTGGCCAGCTGCAGCTGCAGCGGCTTCCGCGCAAGACACTTACGTCCTAGCAGCTTCATTAGTGGTACGCTCAGAGTAGAGGGTCTTTGAGTACCGTTCGCTGCCCATACGTCATTCGCACAGGTGATCGGACGGGTCAAGATTGCGGGACGCTTAGTCACACACAGTCCCGCTGCTTCGCCCGTCTGAGCGACGCCTGGCGTACCGAGTTTGGCGACGAGGCTGAGCTCCCCGACTGGGTGGAGCTGCTTGGGCAGAGGGTAGATATATTTGCTCTTAACTATGATGCTATTCTCACTGCCATGTATGCATTGCCTACTAGTGCTGACGGTGCCTGTTACCTGTGCGTACCGCCTGACCCAGGTATAGAGCCTGCTGCTCTCGGTGCTGGTGAGGCTGCTGCCCTAGGTGCTCGTGCGTCTCCTGCTCTAGGTGGTGGTGAGGCTGTTGCTTCAGGTGCTGGTGAGTCTGCTCTCTCTGGTACTGCGCCTGCTGAGGCCTTGTACACCTTCACACTTGACTCTGGTGCTTCTCGCTCCTTCTTTCGCGACAGCACCACCCTCACGCCGCTCAGCCGGCCGGTTCCAGTCTCCCTGGCAGACCCCTCTGGGGGTCCAGTCCGTGCGACCTCCTCCACTGTCCTCCCTTGTCCTGCTGTCCCGTCCGGCACACTGTCGGGTCTTTACCTCCCCTCATTCTCTACGAACTTGGTGGCGGGTTCTGCGCTCCAGGACGCGGGTGTTCACCAGTTCACCCCTGCCTACGAGCGTATGACACACTGCACGTGTGCTCAGACGGGTCGTCACCTGGCTACCTTCACTCGGCAGCCGGGGTCGGGCCTGTACACACTGACCACTGCGTCCCCTCAGGTAGCTGCGTCTGCGTCTGCGCCAGGTCAGTTGTCGGCCCCCTGCTCGTGTCGCGCCTTGTCGCACCAGACCCTCCTTTGGCACCACCGCCTTGGTCACCCCTCGGTGCAGCGCCTTCGCAGCATGCACCGCCGTGTCCTTGTCTCTGGTCTTCCCAGGGTTCTCCCTCCCCTCCCACCCTCGCCTGCTCCTCCCTGTCTTCCTTGTGTCGAGGGGCGGCAGCGCGCCGCTCCTCACTCCTCCTCGTTCCCTCCCACAGAGGCTCCCCTGCAGACTCTCCACCTGGACGTGTGGGGCCCAGCCCGCGTCCGTGGACAGGGCCACGAGCGGTACTTCCCGCTGGTCGTCGACGACTACACGCGCTACACCACGGTCTTCCCCTTGCGCACCAAGGGTGAGGTCCCTGATGTTTTGATCCCTTAGATCCGCGATACTCGTCTCCTGCTCCGCGAGCGGTTCGGGACGGAGTTTCCCGTCTTGCGTCTGCACTCTGACAGAGGTGGGGAGTTTTCCTCCGACCTCTTGGCAGCCTTCTGTGCGGAGCACGGCATACGTTAGACGTTCACGCTTCCGGCCTCTCCGCAGCAGAATGGGGTTGCTGAGCGCCGCATTGGCTTAGTCATGGAGGTCGCTCGTACCTCCATGATCCATGCGGCTGTCCCCCATTTTCTGTGGCCGTTTGCGATCCTGTACGCCGCGCATCAGCTCAACCTCTGGCCCCGTGTCTCCCTGCCGGAGACCTCGCCCACACTGCTGTGGACGGGGAAGGTTGGCGATGCGTCGCGTTTCCGGGTCTGGGGTGCTCGTGCCTTTGTCCGCGATACCACCGCGGACAAGCTCTCCGCCCACGCTGTTCCCTGTGTCTTCCCTGGCTTTGTCCCTGACGCGCCTGGTTGGCAGTTTTACCACCCCACCTCGCGCTGTGTCTTCCCCTCCCAGGACGTCACGTTCGACGAGTCGGTTCCCTTTTACCGTCTCTTCCTCTACCGCACTGCCCCTCTCCCCCCCCCCCGCCGCTCTTCCTCGCTCCAGGTGCTCCCCAGGTAGACCCCCTCCCCGCTCCTGGTCCTGCTCCTTCAGGTGTGTCTCAAGTAGACCCTCCTCCCTTGTCTGCGCCGGTTGAGGTCACTGGTGACTCAGGTCCTGCTGAGGGTGGTCCTGCTCGGGGTACTACTTCTGATAATGCTGAGCCTGGGGGTGCGGAGCCTTGGGGTGCTGAGCCTGGGGGTGCGGAGCCTGGAGGTGCGGATCCTGGACGTGAGGAGTCTGGGGGTGCTGAGCCTGGGGGTACTGAGTCTGGGGGTGCTGCACCTGGGGGCGCTGAGGCGTCTGGTGAGCAGTCTCCCTGGGACGGCCGTCTCCGTAGCCGCTCTGCTGGTACCTCACCGCTGCACTCTCGTCGTCGACTCCCTCTCTCCCCACAGCAGCTGCGTGAGTGGTACGTTGGCTGTCAGGGTCGCGCTGCTGGAGCTAGGAGCCCTGCTGCGGGAGGCGCTGGTGCTGGTGTCTGTGCTATTGGAGTTGTTTCTGCTGGAGGTTCTGGAGCTGGAGTTTCTGGAGCTGCTGAGGGTGCTGGGGCTGGAGGTTCTGGAGCTGCTGCGGGTGCTGGCGCTGGAGGTTCTGGAGCTGCTGCGGGTGCTGGCGCTGAGGGTTCTGAGTCTGCTATTGTGCGGTCTCCTTGGAGTAGCCGCCTTCGTCCGCGTGTGCCTCTCACCTCACAGCAGCTGCACGACTGGTACGGTCGCCGTCAGGGTCGTGCTTCTGGAGCTCGGGGCTCTACCGCTGGAGGTACTTCTGCTGGCGTCACTGGAGCTGGGAGTGGTGCTGGTCCCGGAGGTGCTCGTACTGGAGGTACTGGAGCTACTGGGGCTGGAGGTGCTGAGCCTGAGGGTGCTCCTGCTGGAGACCCTGGGTCTGGGGGTGCTGCTACTGGAGACACTGAGACTGGAGACCCTGGGACTGGAGGTGCCGGTTTTGGGGGTGCTGGTGCTGGTGGAGCTGGTCCTGGACGAGCTGGCGCTGAGGGTTCTAGAGTTGCTGAGGGTTCTGGAGCTGCTGGAGGTGCTGGAGCTGCTTGGGGTGCTGGAGCAGCTGGTGCTTGTAGAGCTGCACAGCCGCACCTGTTCTTCGCTCCACCGTCTCTGTCGTCTCAGCCACCGTCTGACTCTGTAACTCGCCAGGTTCTTAGTCTCCCTTCGTCTACTGGTCTTCCGTTACAGCCTGGCTCACCACTGCCTGCTCCTTCTCCTTACACCGAGCAGACAGGGGGTCTTACTGAGTGTCGTGAGCCTGCGTCGCGTCTTGTCTCGCCTGTCCGTTCTGGTCGTCCTGGTCGTCGTGTTCCTCGTTCGTGTCAGCCGGCTGTCACCGGCACCCACCTCGTAGTCCGTCGTCCTTCCTCTCCTCCGCAGCGTGTTCCCCTGCCGTCCCCTCCTGCGTCTTCTCTGCCTACCGTTCCTGAGCCTGAGTCTGACCGCACCCGTGCTGCTCACTCTACTGTCACGCGTCTGCTAGCCACAGTTGTTACTGACCTGTCGTTTGAGTCTGCTGCTGCGTCTGCCTTAGTCGCTGAGCTTGTTGACTTTGCTGCTGCCTGTCGTCTAGACTACGCCGCTAGTCTTGTTGCTGAGTCTGAGTCTGTCTGTCCTCCGTTCGTCGGGGGTGAGTGTGCTCTTGGCACGGACGTCCTTGAGGACAGGCAGGAGGACCTTGAGTGTCTTGCAGCCGCTGCGCCTCATCTCGTGTCCATGCAGCTTGCCCCTGAGGGAGACCCGGATGCACCAGACATCCCGACCCCGCGCTGTTACGCTGAGGCGATCGCGGGTGAGTACTCCTCTCAGTGGCAGACAGCCATGGACGCAGAGATGGCATCCTGGAAGTCCACAGGCACTTACGCTGACGAGGTTCCCCCTCCTGGGGCGAACATCGTCAGTGGCATGTGGATTTTCAGGGTGAAGTGTTGAAGTTAGAGGAGCCATTCAGAGAACGACAGTCGCAAGAAGGAACGGGAGGGGCGGAAGCGGAAGAGGCATGATGGGCAGAAGGGGGGAGAGAGACACGAAGAGTGTAGAGGCGAGTGATAGGGGAAAGAGTAAAGCGTGCAAGATGGCGGTTGCGATGATAGAGATCACAATAGGAGTCACATTCAGGAAAGATTGCTCGCACACAAAGACGTTGAAGTGCAGAGAGAGAGAGAAGGTTGTGGCGGCAGGAAGGGACATAGAGGCTAGTCACAGCACCAGAGGGGGAGGCAGGACAGGGAAGAGAGGAGGTAGCAGTGCAAGTCATGGTCATGGTATCCCCAGCTCCTTGAATGGAGAGGGGTTGGGGAAAAGAGCGAAGCACACCAGCATCACGAAAAACAGAGTCAGTGGCACCACTATTAAGAACAAACTCAAGAGTGTGAGGGAGAGAAAGAGCAGCAGCTGTGGGACGAAGATACTGAAAATCATTGCCATTAACAGAAGGAGCAAACATCATGGCAAAACGAGGGTCCATAAGGGGAGAAAGCTCCCAGAATGCTATCCTGACTAGGCATAGTCACACTGAGAGCAGAGGTTTGAGCACTGGTACCGGAGTCGGCAGCCACAAGTACCGCCTGGGCAGAAGACTGGCGACGCTGACAAGAGAGTTGAAGCCAGTTGGGAGGGCGACCAGTGTTGCCAGCTAGGAACCAGTCATCGGTGAGCTTCTGGAAGCAGGAGGAGGAGGGATGATTGGTGCGACCGCATGGCTGACCCTTGCGGGGCCCTTGGCGAATGATGTAGGTGCAAGGAGGAAAGGTGTTGCGAGGGCGAGAGGAAGCAGCGACGGCAGTGGAGGTGGGGAGAGGGGGGGTGGGGCGGAAGAGGATGTGACAGCGGCGGCAGTAGGAGGGCAGCTGCGGAGGTTGAGCTCTGCCTGGAGGAGGAAGGCAGAGACACGAGAGAACGACCACTGGTCGGCAGGGCGCTCACCATACAGAGTGACATGAACACTGTATTCAGGAGTGAGGCCTGTGAGGAGGAGGGCACCGCACACATGATCGGAAAGTTCAAACTTTTGAGAGGCAAGTTGGGAGGTAATCGTCTGCACACGAGCGGTGTAGTCCGCCATGGTGGTGAAGTCAGCAAGGCGAAGAGAGGTAAGCTCGCGTAAGAGGGCAATGACACTGATGGGAGTCTGCGACTGGAAGCGCTCGGTAAGATAGCCGAGAAGGTCCTTGGCATAGCGGATGTGCGAGCACTGAGGGAGAAGGGTTGGAGGTAGGCAGGCAAGGATGACGTGGCAGGCACGTGCGTTGGCAACATGCCAGTCAGCGAGAAGGTCAGAGTGAGATGGAGCAAAAGCAGAGGGAGTAGAGGCAGGACGAGGAGAGGGGGCAGCGAGGTGCTCAGTGAGGTGCTTGCGGGTGCTCTCGAGGGACTCAGCAAGGACACGAGCGAGGTCGCGGGCGGCAGAATTGTCAGGAGCAGCCGCAGCAGTGGCTTGGGCCGTGGCCGCAATCCGCTCAGTTTCAGCGATAGCAGCACGAAGGCCATCAGCATAGGGGTCAGAGGAGGTAGAGGTAGGTGCAGAGGCAGGTTTAGAAATGGCGCCAGAACCACTCTGCTGAGTGACAAACCAGAGGTTAAAGCCACTCACGAGGGTGCCAGACAGCGTCCGCTCGAGACAGTTCAGCCAACTGGGGAAGTTGACTGCGCTGCCATCAGGCGCAAGCTGAAGGACCAGAAGAGGGAGGGAGGGGAGGGCGAGAGAGGTCGCCATAAGGAGGAGGAGACAGCTTCAGAGCAGATGAGGGGAGAGGTATAAGAGGCGGAGGAATAAGGGCGAAGGAGTCCGCTGCTGCGCCGCTGAGGGGAGAAACTAGAGGAGGAGGGATAGTGGCGGAGTAGTCTACTGCTGCGCCGTTGAGGGGAGAAACTAGAGGAGGAGGGATAGTGGCGAAGTAGTCTGCTGCTGCGCCGCTGAGGGGAGAAACAAGAGGAGGAGGGATAGTGGCGAAGTAGTCTGCTGCTGCGCCGCTGAGGGGAGAAACTAGAGGAGGAGGGATAGTGGCGAAGTAGTCTGCTGCCGCGCCGCTGAGGGGAGAAACTAGAGGAGGAGGGATAGTGGCGGGGTAGTCTGCTGCTGTGCTGCTGAGGGGAGAAATAAGAGGAGGAGGGATAGTTGTGAAGGAGGTCGCAGTTGAGCAGTTTAGGGGAGGGTACTGAGGAGGAGGAAAGGTGTGGAGGAGCAACAATTTCAATACACAATCAGTCACCAGCTGCAGCAGATGGGGAGAGAAAGGAGGAGGAGGAAGAGGTGAGATAGGGAGGGATGGACAAAGGAGAGTGGAAAGGAGGAGGAGGGCGAGGGAGGGGAGGGCGGATTGGGAAGGCGCAGGGTGCGCCGCAGGGGAGGCAGGCGCGCGCGTTGCTCGACGAAGCGAAGCGCGCGCGGCGACGACAGCGCAATGCGCGCGTGACGAGACGGGAAGGGGGGGCGGAGGGGAGGGGGGGGCGGCTGAGCGCGCTACGAGCAAAAAAAAAAGCGCGCAACCGCCGGGAACGTGAGAGGAGGAGGCGTCACGAAGGGGGAAGGCGCAGGAGAGCGAACGGACTGTAGGGAGGCGCGCTACGGAGTGAATTAGAGCATCCGCGTGACTAAAATGAAGAAAACCGCGAGGATGCTAAGTGTGACTTTAAGGAAACGATAGAATAGAAGAAAAAGAAAATCGTCTAGGTAAGTAGCGCGGAAATGGCCTAAGGACCAGAAAATTTCTAAGAGATGCGGATAAAAGGGAAACGCCTAGGACTAAGATCTGAATACCATGTTGAAGCTAGAGAAGCCATGGATGGCGAGAGTGTTTGGTGAGGTAAAAAAGTTGAACTAGGAAGAGAAATGTCGAGGTACAAAAGAGAGATGGTTGGAAACCCTAATTGAACCTAGGGTGTGTTCGGTTTGTACTAAAAGCTACAAAATGAACCTAAAATGAACCTGAATGCTTAACGCTCTCTAAGCATGGAGAAATAATATAAGAACACCAAAATAAAGACCAGAGCGAGCTCTAGCCTACTCCAACATGAAGCGGCCGCCCGGTTCGTTACGTTGCTCGAGGTTTCAGTCAGCAAGAGGGAGTACACTTCTTTCAGACCTTCTCCCCCACCCCAAAGATGACCACTCTTCGGGTGCTGCTGCACGTCGCCGCTCAGCGTGACTACGAGCTTCACTCTCTTGACTTCAGCACAGCTTTCTTACAGGGCAGCCTGCATGAGGAGATCTGGCTGCGCCGCCCTCCTGGCTTCACTGGGTCGTTCCCTCGTGGTACCCAGTGGAGCCTCCGGCGGCCGGTCTACGGTCTCCGCCAGGCACCACGTGAGTGGCACGACACACTGAGGACTACACTTGCGGCTCTTGGGTTTGCTCCGTTGATTGCTGACCCGTCGCTGTTTCTGCGCACCGACACGTCGCTGCCGTCGTTCTACATCCTTGTGTACGTCGACGACTTGGTCTTTGCCACTGCTGACACTGAGGCTCACGCCCTGGTGAAGTCGGAGCTCCAGAAGAGACACACGTGCACAGACCTGGGTGAAATGCGCAACTACCTTGGCTTGCAGATCACCCGGGACAGAGCACGCCGCACCATCACACTGACTCAGTCACACATGGTGCAGCAGGTCCTTCAGCGCTTCGGCTTCACCTGGTCCTCTCCACAGCACACTCCTCTGGCTACAGGCCACTCGCTCTCAGCTCCACCTTCGGACGAGTCCGTAGAGCCGAGTGGCTCGTACCCAGAGCTAGTGGGCTACCTCATGTACCTGATGACCTGCACTCGACCTGACCTTGCGTACCCTCTTGGCCTTCTGGCTCGCTACGTGGCACCTGGTCGGCACCGAAAGGTGCACATGGATGCTGCGAAGAGGGTACTGCGCTACTTGTGCGGTACATCGGGCATGGGGCTCATGCTTGGAGGGCGGAGCGCAGTTGTCCTCGCTGGGCACTCAGACGCTTCTTGGGTTGACGACCAGGCTACGCAGCGGTCGTCACAGGGTTACACCTTCAGCCTTGGCTCTGGTTCAGTTTCTTGGCGTTCTACACGCTCGTCTTCTGTTCTCAGCTCCAGTTGTGAGGCTGAGATATACGCCACAGCCATGGCTGGACAGGAGTTACGCTGGCTCACCTACCTGCTGACCGACTTGGGAGAGCGGCCTTGTTCTCCTCCAGTGCTGTACGTCGACAACAAGACCGCCATTGCCTTGTGTCAGGAGCACAGACTGGAGCACAAAACGAAGCACATCGCTCTGCGTTACTTCCTGGCTCGAGAGTTGCAGCAGCGTGGTGAGCTTCGTCTTGCTCACGTGGCCACCCGGGCCAACACTGCTGATATATTCACCAAGGCACTTCCGTCTGGTGATCATCAGCGTTTCTGCACTTTGTTAGGCCTTGTGCCTACTTTGCTTCACTTGCTGTAGACTTTGCTTGTACTGTGATCTATATATATATACCTGCATGCCTGTTCTGCTAGGTAGAGATCACTGTGCTGTTGTTGTTGCATATATACCTCTGCATATGACCTGGCCTTGTGGCCCTTTGCTTGTGCTCAGTGTGTGTGGTGACGTTGTGATCCACCCTGAGCTTGCTTTGCTTCTCTTGACTGGTCTTGTGACCCCTTGCTCTCCCCCACTTTGCCTATGTGGGTGTATCAAAGTATATACATGCGAAATATGTTTAGGCTGTAGTGAGGTAGCTTATATGGGGTACAGCCCCTTTTAGGGTTTCATACTTGTACCCAACTCTTTCATAGTTCATTCATTACTGCTGCTAGTTTCTAACAGGGTGCGGGTCGCGGACGATCTGGCGCGTGCAATGGCGTAGCAGCAGCTTCTCCCGCCACTCCCACCACTCTCGCCACTCCCACAACTCTCGCCACTCCCTTCACAGCAGTTGCGAAGTCGACGGGAGGGTGGGCGGGGACCTGGCGACGGACAGCGGAGTGCATACGGGTGGCGGGGATCTGGCGACGGGCGGCTGTGTGACGGGACGGGCGACGGGTTGCAGCAGCGGATATCGCGCAGGCGGCGGGATGCAATTGCGGGTAGCGCGTCGGCGATGGGCAGAAGCAGCGGGTAGCGCGTGGGCGACGGGCTGCGGAAGCGGAAATCGCGCGGGTGGCGGGCTGCAGTAGCGGGTAGTGCGCGGGGTCGACGGGGGCGAGAACGACGGCGCGAAGCAGCGGGTCGATGATCGCCGTCACTCCCGCCGCGACCGTAGCGTCCGTCATGCCTACCGTGATGAATTTTGCTACGGGCGAGCGACGGGCGAGCGATTTGCTGCTTAAGGGGACGCGCCATCATGAAGGTAACGGTGGGCCCTTCAAAAATAGGTCGGGAACGACCTAGCCCTATACCATGTTATAATACGATCTTAACTTAGGAACCAGGGTTTACTAAGGGCCTAGGCTTAGTAGCCTAGGCCAAGCGGGTTCGAGGGAGTTGTGCCAAGGAGTAGCGAGAATGGTTGGGGGTTCACTATAGCACACAGATACATATAGCAACCTAACAAAGATGAAAGAGGTGCACCACCATTCAAGGGCATTACACAACAGCTACACTACAGGCAGATTATACTAAATAGATATGAATCTATTTTGACAGCAGGGCGCGGCTGCCAGGGGGCGCCGCGACGAGCAGGGACGACGCCGCGCCGGTCCCGCAGGGGCGTCGCGACGAGCAGGAGCGGCATCGCGCGGGTCCCGCAGGGGCGTTGCGACGAGCAGGGGCGACGCCCGGGTCCCGCAGGGGTGTCGCGACAAGCAGGAGTGGCGCCGCGCGGGTCCCGCAGGGGCGTCGCGACGAGCAGGGGCGACGCCCGGGTCCCGCAGGGGCGTCGCGACGAGCAGGGGCGACGCCCAGGTCCTGCAGGGGCGTCGCGGGGTCCAGGGGCGGCGTCGCGGGGTCCAGGGGCGGCGTCGCGGGGTCCAGGGGCAGCGCCGTGGGGTCCAGGGGCGGCTTCTTGGTTGCAGGGCAGGCCCGCGCGCGGCCTGCAGGGCAGGGCGACGGGCAGGCGCTCGAGGGCACGGGTAGGGCAGGCGCTCGAGGGCGCGGGTAGGGCAGGCGCTCGAGGGCGCAGGTAGGGCAGGCGCTCTAAGGCGCGGGTAGGCAGGCGCAAGGCGTGTGACGGGGCAGGCAGGCACGGTAGTGCGCTTCGGGCAGGGCAGAAAAAAAAGTTCGTGGTGGGCCCTAAAAAAAACGTTCCCACTAGGGAACCTGCTCTGAAACCATGTGAGAATTAGAACAAGGAATGACTAGAATGAGAACAGTACAAGGTTTGTATAGGCAAAACCTAACAGGGCTGTACCCCATAAGGAGTGCCCCACTACAGCCTAGAGTATAGTTCTGACACCTACTAGACCTATGCTGAGCACTTCAATACTTCGTATCCACTCCTGACGTCGGACTCACCTATACAACCAATTTAACATCTCCTCTTGAGCTGCTCGGCTACGTGGACGCGGATCATGCTAGAGATCCTGACAAGAGACTCTCTCCCACAGGCTTTGTGTTCCAACTCGAACCTGCTATACCTATCTAATGGAACTCCCAGAAGCAGGAGTTCATCGCCCTTTTGTCAGCCGAAGCTGAATTTATCGCCGCCACCGAAGTTGTTTGCAAAGGACTGTACTTGATGGAGATTTGCAGGAAGCGTAAGTAACGATGAACGAGCACTTCAAAGAGCAATAAAAATCGCAAACAAGACTGTCTTCATGAATCGCACATTCCGTTACTTTTTAATAAGGGCGAGATCGTCAAAGGGAAATTCAAACTCTTCTATTGCCTGATTGTTGACATGGCAGCAATTTTCTGATAGATAAGCTGCCACGTCAGAAGTTCCAGCACTACGCCAACCTCTGCGGGATCTTGAAGAAATAACACGTGGCTCACCTTAAAAAATGAAGGGGGGTGTTGGAACAACCTACATACTATTATAATATCCTCGAAGGTTCATTCTTAGCGCACTGCCTCATAACAAAGCAACGCGTCTGTACCTGCGCCGCGCTAGCTCATACGGAGCACGCGTCAGTCAGACAGCCACGCGAAGGTCAACAGTCGCTGGAAATCAATGGCCGCAACTTTTAACCACCCAGTAACCGCACTCGATGGTTACACGCTGCATCATGGTAACTGTCGAGTATAGCAATGCTATACAGTTAATAAGGAAATGTACCCCTCAGAGTACATGGCTAGCTAGGCATGAATCCTCTATAAACCTCTTGTATTGTTATGGGCTAACGCGCTAGTGGAACAGGCATTACTTCGACAATAGCAGGTGTCAGAATGTGTAGTTTGTCTAGTCTGCAGTGGGGTACTCTATAGTGAGTACGGCCCCTTAGGTTTTCCTATATGTATCCACCTGCTTGCTAGTGCAATCCCTCCTTTGTCTATTTTCTCTTGCCTAGCTAGCTAAACCCTAGCTATGGTTCCTGCGTTCTAACTTGCTATTTTGACATGGTAACAGAGCTGTTACGCTCTTGGCCTGTGGGCCCACCTGCTTCCGCTGCTTTCCTGTCTGTCGCGCGCCCCGTGGCGCGCGACGCTGATTTTTTCTTCCCGCCACGCGCTCGGGGCGCATGGCGGTTTTCTGCCCGCCGTGCGCCCCGAGGCGCGTGGCGGCTTCCTGCTTCACGCGCCACCCCGGGGACCCGCGCGTCCAACCCCTGGAGCCCGTCGCGTCGCCCCGCAACCCGCGTGCAGCCCTCGCTGCCCCGTCGCGACGCCCTAGGGAGCCGCTCGCGGCCCCCCGCTGCCCCGTCGTGGCGCCCTGGGGAGCCGCGCGCGGCCCCCGCAATCCCGTCTCGGCGCCCTGGGGAGCCGCGCACGGCCCCCGCTGCCCCGTCGCGCCGCCCTGGGGAGCCGCGCGCGACCCCCCTGCTGCCCCGTCGCGGCGCCCTGGGGAGCCGCGTGCGCCCCCCCGCTGCCCCGTCGTGGCGCCCTGAGGGCCGCGCGCCGTCCCCCGCGCTGCTGCCCGCGCTCCTGCCCCGTGCTGCCCGTGTTAGGGTTTGGGGGTGGCGAGTGTGGGGGTGGCGGGTATGGGGGTGACGGGTGTGTGCACCGTCCCCTGCTCCTCCTCCTCCTCCGTCTCCCACTGCTGCAGCTATCGCTGTAGGGGGTGGGTGTGTGGGAGCCGAAGGAGTGGTGCTAGGGGGGTGTCGTGGGAGTGAAGCTAGGGGTGCAGCAGGGGGTGTGAATGGGAGTTTTGGGACAAAGGGGGAGGTTGAAAGGAGGTGGCCGCCGAAAAGCCAGCAGCTCCAGTCGCCCGTGAGACCGTTGCGCCAGTCGCCCGTGAGCCCGTCGCTCCAGTCGCCCGTGAGCCCGTTGCTCTAGTCGCCCGAGAGTCAGTTGCTCCTGCCGCTTGTCTAGCCGCGGAGCCAGTTACTCCAGTTGCCCGTGTGCCAGTTGCTCCAGTTGCGCCGTGTGCCAGCAGCTTCATCTGCCGCCCACTACCTCCTCTCCTCTCATAGTCCCTCCTCCTCCTCACTAGCCCTCTGTGATAGCCTCTAGCTTTGCTTATATTTGTAAACTATGCACTGCTGCTTGTTGTGCTCATCATGCCCCACTTTGACTATGGGGGTGTGTCAGAAAGTGTAGTTTGTCTAGCCTGCAGTGGGGTACTCTATAGTGAGTACGGCCCCTTAGGGTTTCCTATATGTATCCACCTGCTTGCTAGTGCAATCCCTCCTTTGTCTATTTTCTCTTGCCTAGCTAGCTTAACCCTAGCTATGGTTCCTGCGTTCTAACCTGCTATTTTGACAGCAGGTGCAATACTGCTGCACCTTCGGGAATGCCAAGATAATTCCCATTCTACTACAACAAACATTGCACGCACCGCGCTATAAATGTTCGCTCACGCATTGCTGATATTTTGTACTCTTTAGTGCAATCTTCACTAGCTCTTTCAATTGCACCTGTAACACCTGTATTATACTTACCCCAACAATAATGCACCCATTCTGGTTTTGCAAATGTTTCGCAGCGTCGCGTATCCCCCTACTGATCTTGATTGGAAACTACCATTGAGGAAGCAACAAATACGAAAATTGTTGTGTTGTGACTTCACCTCGTGATTCGTAGACGACAGTGCATCTAGCGCTTCTCTCTAATTCGACAATGAGATTCACCCGAGTCGAGTGCCACCGACGGATGGGCGCCCCGCCAATCACTGCCGTCACACACATTTCACTCCCGAGCTGCGACACATTTCGCAACTCACTCGAGCGAAGTCCATAGAGTCGCATAATTCAGTTCTATCTGTGAAATAATGACGAGGGATTGACTAGGAAATGAGTTGGGTACAAATATGTAGCCCTAGGAAACTGTACCCCATACTGTCTACCCAACTACAGCCTAGAAAGACTATAGCATAAATGTTTGACACACCCCCATAGGCAAAGTGGGGGAGAACAAGGACCAGTCAAGCAAGGCAAGCTCAGGGTGGATCACAACGTCACCACACATTCCGAGCACAAGTTCAAGGCCACAAGGCCAGTTCACATGCAGGATTATATATATAGGTAAACAAGCAAATGCAGGTATAGATAGATCACAGTACAAGCAAGGTCAAGAAGTGAGCAAGTGAGGCCAAGTAGGCACAAGACCTAGCATCGTACAAAAGCGCTGATGATCACAAGGCTGAAGTGCCTTGGTAAAGATATCAGCACTGTTGGCCCGAGAGGCCACGTAAGCAAGGCGCAGCTGACCACGCTGCTGCAGCTCACGAGCAAGGAAGTAGCGAAGAGCAATGTGCTTCGTTCTGTGCTCCAGTCTGTGCTCCCGACACAAGGCCAGCATGGCCTTGTTGTCTACGTACAGAACTGGAGGAGAACGAGGCGGCTCTCCTAGGTCAGTCAGCAGGTAGGTGAGCCAGCGTAACTCCTGTGCAGCCATGGCCCCTGCGTAGATCTCAGCCTCATAGCTGGAGCCGAGAACAGAAGACGAGCGGGTAGACCGCCACGAAACAGAGCCGGAACCAAGGCTGAAGGTGTAACCCTGTGACGACCGCTGCGTAGCCTGGTCATCAGCCCAAGAAGCGTCTGCGTGACCAGTGAGGACCACTGGATGCCGCCCTCCAAGCACGAGCCCCATGCCCTACGTACTGCACAAGTAGCGCAACACCCTCTTCGCTGCAGCCATGTGCTCAGGTCTGTGTCTCCCAGGAGCAACATAGCGTGCCAAGATGCTAAGAGGGTATGCAAGGTCAGGTCGAGTGCAGGTCATCAGGTACATG